AAGAACACCTAGACTCAAATCAACAATTTGTGGATCACTCAAATTGTTGTCCCATGTTGGGATCGAACCCACAACACTCAGCGCAGTAGTAAGTGGAGTTGCGACCGCTTAAACCAATACGCCATCCATGCAGTGATCATGCTCAAATGATGGTGTGACGAGCATAATCATTTGTTCAGCATATGGGTGCAATTTATCTATAATAGAATAATCTTTATTATACACCAGTTCAGTACATTTTACATACAATAGTATACCAAGTTAATGACCATGTACAAATGGCGGCCTTATCGCTAAAAATACATAAGTAATCTGTAAAAAATACACACATTATATATTATAAATACATACATACACAAATACATAAAACCATTTTAAACCATTTTTTAAAGTAGGTAAAGTTTTGGCACGTTTTATAGTCGTTGGCAAAGCATTCTATAGTCGGACAGCCTGTACACTTAACGATTTATCGTAGAACGTGGAACACTGTGATGGTACTGCTAGTTCCAGAGATTCAGATGATCTCAGAGATCTTGAATGTGTGTCACCGCGAAAAATGACGCCATGAGTGCCACCACTGCGGTGGCCAGACCGTGGACACGGCTCTCCACACGCTGGCAGAGTGCCCGGCGTGGGTTGAGCAGAGGCGAGACCTCGTGGCGGCCATCGGAGTGGGAGTTCTCTCGCTCGATAGCCTGATTGCGGCTATCGTTCGGAGCGAGAGTGCGTGGAACTCTGCCGTCTCCTTCTGCGAGCAAGTTATGCTCGCGAAGGAGACGGCGGAGCGGGACCGGGAGAGGTTTAGGACTCTCCCGGCCCGCCAGGCCCGGGAACGGGCCAGGTACCGCAGGCCACTCAGGCGCCGAAGGTCGCAGAACGACCTCCGTCCTCCATAAGCGCAGGCCTGGGGGTGACAGGTGAGGCCATCTGTCACCCTAGCAGAAGCAGGCCGGAGTGGCGGCGAGCGCGTTGCGAAGCGCGCTCGCTTCCAGGGAGCACAGAGAACATGGGGTTCCCACACGGGGGGGGGTCGTCTACTCGTCTGTAGATGACCCGAGGTATGTCGGGGCACCAAGGACTTCCTTTCTAGGGTATACCTGGTTCCCCGGCTATTAGTACCCGAGACGGCGTGCGGTTTGAGTCGGTTCGAGTCCGACATGCCACCGACAGGTGGTATCCGAGGGGATTTCCGCACGGAAAAAAAAAGAAAAAAAAAAAAGTTTACCATATAGATCAATGACCTATCTATTATCATATCAATGATCATATTACAATGTCGATAAAGTACCCGAAATACCTCTGTAAAACGTCAAAAAGTCTTCATCATTCATTACTTTATAGTCTTCAAAGTTGGTTCTTTTAGAAATAATATAATTTTACCAATGACTAACCAACTTAACTTATATAACCACCAAAACATTTTTAAACGCACTTTTTGAAATCGAATTCCAGCACTTATTGACTCAAAGAGGTAATATTGTAATAAGTACGTAAATCTCTACATTCAGTTATTACAAAACCTGAATGTAGAGACGTAACTGACTCGTTCTATCATCGTTCTTCGGCGACTTTTATAAACGTCATAAAGTTCTTGCGGAATCTTTTGCTACTAATCAAGCAGCAGCGTATTTCGTTCTCAAACAATCGTTTTAAATGGCACGAATTGATTCATACGAATATTTGTTATATATATTAGACATACGATATTTTAACTGCTGAATCTCAGACTTATACGATAATGATAGCCATGATATCCTTAATTTTTCGATATTTAGTTCAATAAAATTGAAGACATTAATGGATGACTTGTTCATAGTACCACTGCTTAACTGATTTTAAATGGAATGTACCACTCAAATGCACGTGTTTATCTGTACACAGCATAATGTGTAAATGACTGTTTGCGATATGAATTATTTTTTCTTGTTAGAATTAATTTCAAATATATATATATATTGTCTTAACAGTTATGCCGATGATGTAGGTAAAAGGGAAACATTTCTTGTTCAGTTTCCACATTGTCTGCATGACATATAGAAACAAATAGTGGCATTGAGAAATAAAAGGAAAATATACTTGACTTAGATTTATCTCCAATCTAAATCTGTTCCGCTTAAGTCCGGGAACAAATAAGCCTACGTATAACAAACTACAAACTAATATCCATTAATGCCACGAGCAGGTGAACGGGAAATGTTTTTGGTGGAAATATAAACGCAGCTCTTCCAAAGCGTGTCACTCCAACCCCGTCGGTTTACTGTGCAAAGAAAATTAGGTAACTGTACGCTTCACTTAGCGATTCCAACTTTTATTAATCTCAGCTCTTTTTTTTCTTGATTGGACATTTGTTGGGGAACAGGTACCGTATTCGATTTCATTCGTACGAGTATACATGTATATCATACAATTAAAGCGTATAAGGCATTTCACCTTTTATAATCCAAATTTATTGAAAATTTGTTTTTTTTTGGTAATCAATTTCATAATCATTTTGATTTAAAGTTAAGTTGTTAATATTACTTTTGTACATTCTTCCTTTTTAAGGCCTTACTACACTTTTAATTTCATTCTTAAATATTTAAATCTATTCTTGTGTTATTTGTTGTACAATAATATTGTTACTAACATTCATATATTATCTTACTAAGCCGAAAAATGTTTGCCCTTCCTTAGGTATTCAGAAAAGCGAATATTTTCGATATCTGATATAATCTTATGATCCAATTTGGCACTTTCAACTTCGGGCACCATCAAGTAGGTAAAGGACCTATGATTGACTGAAAATCTTAAATATAGTATCGTTTGAATTTCGAGTAATGTCTATCCTTAAGTTTTTGTAGGTACATGTTACGGGAAGAGTCTTTTTGCATTTTTTCCTTAATTTCCTTTTTTGTGTTCTAATTACGGGAAAAAGACTGTTTCCATTTTTTCCCTCAATTTAAATTTTGTGTTCTAATTACGGGAAAAAGACTGTTTGCATTTTTTCCTCAATTTAAATATTTGTGTTCTAATTACGGGAAAAAGACTGTTTGCATTTTTTCCTCAATTTAAATTTTTGTGCTCTAATTACAGTAAAAATACTTTTTGACTTTCTCATCCATTTTCACTTTTGTGTACCAATTACGAAAAAAAATATTTTTGACATTTCATTTTTTGTGTGCTAATAAAGGGAGTCATTTTCACTTTTTTATCCTTTTTCACTTTTGTGTACTAATTACGGAAAATGGAATTTTTGACTTTTTCAATTTTGTGTACTTTTTGTATTTGTTTTGTATTTAATTATTTTGTATTACAAGAAAAAGTCTTATTGACTTTTATTTTTATTTGTGGGTACTAACAATGGGAAAAGTGTATTTGTTTACTTTATCATCTGTTTTAAATTTTGTGTTTCTAAAAATTACGGGAAAAAGCCGTTTATTTATTTTTAACGTCGGTATTGTGGATCATTGTATCATATTTAAATCAAAGAGATAAATACATAAATTAAATCTTTATTGTACTCATCATCATCAACAGCCTTTAATAGTCCACTGCTGGACATAGGCTTCTCCTTAGAAAGGAGGTTTTGGCCTACTATACCACGCTGGCCAAACGGGTTGGTATAGTTTGTTTCAAGTTTTCCTTCTCTCTGCAGTGCTGTTGTTCTGCGTAGCTTAGCTGCTTAGCTTATTACGTGCGTAGCACGTAATAATTATTGTACTAAAACACTAAAATGACAGAAACTGTGTAGACATACTCACAAACGAGAGACGAGGAGTTAGTGTTATAGTTAATAATATCTATGTAAAGCGTGTGATGACGGATTAAGAATACATAGTGTCACCACCCTTATTCATCCCGTGGGTGTCGTAAGAGCCGACTAAGGGAGCAAACTACGCAGGACAACAGCACTGCAAGGAGAACGAAATCTTGAAACAAACTCTTTAGCAACCCGTTTGGCCAGCGTGGCATAGTAGGCCAAAGTGGCATAGTAGGCCAAAAATTCCTTTCTAAGGAGAGGCCTATGTCCCAGTGGACTTAGATTGATGAAAGCAATTATTCAAAAGAATACATAAGAATAAATAAATAAGTAAATATTAATAAAACTATGAGAATACATCTATAAATACATATACATAAATAAAATAAATATAGGTATACGGGTAAATATTAATACACATCATCAACAGCCTTATCCTCAACTACTCATGTTCTCACTCATTTTCGTTTATTAATTTGATAATGTTTTCCTTGATTAGCAGTTGCAATGTATTACACAGACGAATGCCCAGTACTGAACTAGAATTTTCTATGAAAGGCGTGGAATTCATTGGCCATTTCATTATTAATTTATGTGGTATTCTATATCTACGTACCAAACTTCATAATTATTACTCAGTCGTTGTAAACCGTAGGTAATTGTGTAGCAAATATTACTTAATAGTTATATACTTAGGTATTATAAACATCACAAAAATATATAGGCCAGTTAAGTTTTAAATAGGACGAATATAATCCTAGAGAAGAAAGGAGGCACTAAGTGGCAATCAAATCAGTGCACGAGAAGGCGCAATCATCGCATGTTGGCGCACAATTAGACCCATATACATCGAAGTTGACTAGGTCACAGCAATTGAACGATATATTGATTGCCTCGCATCTAGTGAATAAAGTTGGACGTTTAATTGCGATTAATCGAATTGAAATTTAATATGATTTATATTGAACTATCGACACGATCTTATAAACACTTAATTAACCGCAAATAATAACCAATACATATTATTATTAAACATATTTATTAAAAATATACGGTTTTACTGACTTCTGACTAGTTTTGGACATAAAGGAGCTCGGCACTCGGGGTTAAATAGATATTTTATTTGTATTTGTTAAGTGTAAAGCGTCCTGCAGGCTTAGGAGGAGAGTCTACAATACAGATACCATTTACGAAACTTTTAATTATAATAAAGGTCAGTGTTATCCCAAGCTAAAGCAAGCCGGTTTCTTTAAAGAAAATAATGGCTGAGAACCAAGACGAATGTATGTGTTCTTATCATACTCTCACAACTGTGTATGTTGTGTCATACTGGGGTACTTATAACTAAAATCTTTAAATACAGATATTTAAGGTGTTTTTACGATATAGGGGGAAAACGAACAGATGGGTCACTACCAAGTGACTACCATTGTCCCTTTACGTAGCAACACATTTGTGTCTGCAAGGTTTCCACACACCTGCAACTCAAGACACAAATGCGTTGCTGCCCTTTGAGCTCCCAGAATTTAGGGATCTTCGGGTAACTTCACTCAGTGAAAAGTATTGAAATGCTTAACGCCGGTATTCTATAAGGCTATCGCTCTGATCGAATCGATATGTGCCGAAACATGACTATGTAATCTAATGTTTATGCCAATGAATTTTTAAATTCAATAAAATCATAAAGAAAATGTAACGAACCTGTAGCACTTACCTAACCGACCTTATCAATCGACTAAGTATAACACACCATACATTTTATGTAACATTAATAATAGTTATAATCTATAGTTATACTTATACATATATCTAAACATAGTCATTGAAGCTAGTTGTTGTATTTCAAAGACAAAAATGATATCTGTAGTTTTACAAATTATTTTATGCATTATAACGAAGATAAAAATATTATAACATAACTTACATGGTTATAAGTTAATGAAATTAAACATTAAAAAACAGTTGGTTTTATGGTCAATTTCTAAAGAATTAAGATTTTTTAATCGATACTCGGTGATTTGGTTTTCATTTGAGGATTTATTTTAAACTTCTGGATGTCTTTGTCTGCAGTTATTGTTTTATGCCCCAGCAAATTTGTTGCTTATATGCCTCAAATTTGATGGGGCAAATGATACATAAAGATTGGTTCGCGTTTTAGCTAACAAAATCGAGCATCTCACAGAAGCAGGCAAATTCTACTCACAAAAAAATTCTACTGTATCAGGTGCACAACTCAATGATATAACTCTTAGAAAACCCTTTTTAACATAAAGTGAAATAAAAACAACCCACCGGGCTCAGTGCCAAGATATCATTTCCTTAGGTAAATCTGTTTCGTTATAAATGATGTTGGTTCTGAGAGTCTCAACTCAACCCCTGTTACTTAATATTCAAGCAATTAAAGGCGCCCTCGATATCTGGAAATTCTGTAGATATCGTTTTAAAGATATATTTTTTCAAATCTTGACTATCAAATAAAACGGTAGGAGAATCGTGTACGAACTCGTATAGAGGTACCACTTTCAGAAAAGTGTAATTAACAAGTACTAATCTCTATTTATCTTCACTTTACACATTACTTATTCATCAAATAAAAAATTTCAAAATAGCTTTAGACTGTTTATTTTAACAATAAAATTAATTTATTTAATGTACTCTTATGTACTTTGTGGATAATAAATAACGTTATAGTTCAACATGTCTATAATATTACAATGCAGGTCTTCACGGTTTTCTTGAACTTTTTCTTGTGTTTGTGTGACGAATAAAAGAATCAAAATCAAATTGATATTACATTCCTATTGTAAAGTTTCTAACATTTATTTCATAACTCCTTTCATGTATTCTAAAGAATTTCATCGTCCTTTTAATCTCTTTTGTACAGCATTTTCCAAGTTGACGCGAAAGGAGCTATCTACTTGTCGACTAAAAATGGAACGTTTCCAATAACGCTGACATCCCTAAAATCCCGTGACGACGCTACATCACAAGACACTCAAAACATTTTGTCTGCGACCGCGAAAAATCTATCTCATGGTGCGTCTCAAAGAGAACAAGACTATTGGGACGACTCTGAAATGTTACTCTCAAATTACATTAACGTCACTTACGATGAAGTCGACGCATACACCTTCAAACAAAATATTAAAAGAAGCATTAACGATGCAGTTTCCAAAAATATAACTTTGGTATTGGAAAATTTGTTGAAGAATTATGAGAATTCTCAGTTGCCTACGCATGGAAAAGGTAAAGCACCTAACTGCCTAAATTAAAAGTCTCGAAGCTTACATTAAAATGTAATTGATTATATTTTTAGTATTAATTTTCCGGTTAACGCCATTACTTCAAATTACATAAACTCTATATCCCCGTATTTTGACTATAAATATTATGTTAAACATACGTAATGAAGCAAATGAATTTCACAAATAAACAATTCTTGACTACAAAATAGTTACAAAATATTTTAATTTGTGTTGTGTTTGTATATTTTAATAGTCTTGTCTTACCATTTCCACAAAAATAAAGCCAGATGGTACTCGCCACACAGAGTTTTTAAAAAGTAACAATTACTAACTCTATTTTTAAGAGTCAATTTCAGAAGAAGAAATCGAAATTTTATAAGGTCTATCGATAGTGCTCCAGTTCTTATCGAAATTGGTTCCACCCTAAATCAAAGCAAACAGTTATAGAGAGAGCCTACACTCGTATCTAATACATAGATCCAGTTTTGAGTTACAAAAATTTCACGAAATCGTGATTTTAGGACTGAACAAAGACATAAAATTTTATAAGCTTTAAAATAATAAATATTCAAATATTATTTTCAGGTTATCCTACTGTAGTACAAACAAATATATTGATACGGAGCATGGGACCAGTGTCCGAATTAGATATGGTAAGTTTCAATGTACGAAAACATCTCAGTAGGGCTGAAGAATAGTTCTCCATGTAGTACGCGTCGACTTTATCAAGATATTAGTTAAAAACATACTAAGTACTTTGTTTGTTTTATTTTTATTTTTATTCACGTCACATATTACTTCCGTTGTAACTTCATTCTTAGGGACACCCATCTTTATTTGCCCCGTTTTTTCTCTACTAGACTTTATTTTGCATAAATTCCGTCTCATATACAATAACATTTTTGGATGCTGTTGCGGCTACCCTACTGCAGTGCGTCTAGTCTAATGTTTGCCGAAGCACATACGGATGGCTATCATGCCATAATACGTATGAAGGACAGTAGCAACAGCATCCTAAAAATGATTGCCTCTCGTACAGACTGTCCAATTTAATGCAAGTTAGTTCAAATAATAACAGGACAGGACTAAATACATATTATTTCAATTTTTTTTTTATTTATTGAGTATTTTATAATAGTGACGAAATAATGATATTGATTTGTGGCATGCATTTATTTTCTATGGTAATTTCATTTTCTTTACTTATAGTTATTACTAGTGTGTAGTAGAATACATGAAAATTAACAACAATATGTTGCTAAATTACGTGTATTCTGATATATATATATATCTCGTAATATGTTTCTTCTAATGCTGATTTTTTTGACATCACTAATTTTTATTATGTACAATGGATTTAAAATTTGAAAATAAACGATTTTATTAACAATAATGCTCCTATCAATACAATAACTATATTATATACATTTCCTTATTCTGTCACTATTAGCGCCAGCTTTAAAGTGTCTATAACAAATCATTTACGTACTAATATTTCCATTTTAATGAAAATATCCAGTAAATGACAATATTCTTCTCTACCTCAGCTTATAATACTGCTTCTTCTAAACCACCGTATTTAAGAGTATATTCATTGAAATTTTCGCTTTATTTTATACAATGATTTTTTGATTTTTTGATCAATTTGCGTTGATCTATTATACTTAGAATTAAGAAACAGCCTAGAAATTCAAATTCAATTCAAATTTAAAATATCTGTATTTCATAACAAAATTAGAATTGTTTGAAATTGTCTTTTATGTAGACTCTACGAGATCAACACACACACAATAGCAATTATCTCTGTTTTGTCAAATAGTAAGAAAAGCATTTTTTAATAAAAATATGCTTATACAAAATCTATGATATGCCTATGCCGATCCACAACCGCCCGTTTCCAAGGGGTTGAGCCTTACGAGAAGAAAGGGCAAACAAACTCATGCCCAAAATAAAATTAACACTTTGCAGTAATATAAATATCTCAGCGAAAGGACTGATCTGACTCTTCAAAAAATTGTACCTACTTACGGTCCGTTGAATTTCTCACTCACTGTTGCACGTCATCCCTTATTTTATTGATGCAACGTACTTTTTTGAACCAAAGTCATCATTTATGGATTTTTTTATTATCTTGTGTTTTGTTTATGTTTCAGTATGCATCGTAACGTAATACACGTTACGATGCATAATGAAACACGCGTGCCGTCTACATTAAAATCCCGAAAATATATATTTTATTTTCCATTACAGGATTATTCAATGGATTGCTACTTTCGGCAATATTGGCGTGACACGCGGCTGTCGTTCCTCGGTCCCATCCGCTCTTTGTCACTTTCTATCAAGATGTTGGAAAGGATTTGGCGGCCAGACACGTATTTCTACAACGGCAAACATTCGTATGTACATACGATAACTGTCCCAAATAAGCTACTGAGAATTAGCCAACATGGAGATATTTTGTATTCCATGAGGTATGATTTTATATAGAATTGTTTTACAATATACCTACGTAGATAATTTATTAGTAGACGTGAACCTAGACATTGTAAAGAAGTATATAATTTCGGCAAAATTCTACTTCTTTCAGACTCAATACATGCCTTTCATTAGACCTTATCAGACCCTTGTGTGCCCTTGGTTTCAGAGAGATTTGTTAGGTCATACTTTATCCATGTGATGTTGAAAGCCTGTGACACGACCGGGACTCCTTCAATCGTTATACGTTATAGTAAATTTAAATAACTGTTGTTTTCAAAAATAAATTATACAGGGCAGAATAGAAATCTCTTTCTTAATTTCAGAAGAATTTCAAATCCTGAGATATAAATAAACTATTTTACCATTGCTTATGTATACATATATCTGTCTTTATTAACTAAATATCTTTACGTAACAGACATATTATTTACGATCTCCTCATAACGAACGGTCAATCATTGCAAAATATGACTAAGAAGTTTAATTTACATAACACACTCTATAAAACCTTTACATTACATATTCTACCAATCTATCTCATTAGAATCCTAACGAATTCGTCGAGTCTCGACATGTTCAATTTATGTTGCTTAATGTAATTAAATGTAAACACGCTGTTTCTCACTTTTGTTAAGCAATATACATATGTAGAATTGACAGGCACCGAATCGTTCGTAATAATATAGTTTTTAAAGATTTGTTGATATTGATGTTCATGAACACGTTTTCTTCGCCTTTTAGAAAGACTCACAGATCATCTTCACCTCTTTATAAAAACCTAATTGTAGGAAATTACTTCGTAATACGAGTACAAATAATCAACATAAATATTAACTGTATGTCTTTATATTTTTTCGAGGTTCAAATTCTGTACAAATCATTATACTAAGTACGTCAGTATTAACCTCGAAGCTTGGGTAGGTAGGGAGGGAGGTCGCGTCACCTACCGACCGACGCAGGTGCTCACTGGGCATGACTGCTTCGGTGAGTACCTGAATCGGATATGACGCGAGGAGACAGCACTATGCCAGCACTGCGCAGCCGACTGGGACTCCACCTAGCACACGCTGGAAGACTCCCCCTTTTTTTTCGTGTGGAAACCCCCTCAGGCCGTTACCCTACCGGGGTTTGCGGCGGGGTGGTGTGTCGGAATCGGACCGACTAAAACCACACGGTGTGCCACTCTGCGCCTGTAATAGGAGGGATCCGGGAACTGTTGTTATTAAAACATTCGAACCCCTCCTAGCGCCTGCCCGCAACGGCGCGGGCACCATCTTCGGGTACATTCTCCATTTAGGCCACGTCCAGCATACGCGGACATCGCCTCCTCACGGCTGGCCGTTATGGCGTTTGGAGGGGAAAACCCGTCCCGTTCAAAAAGCGGCCACACTCAGGGCGGCATGACGCCTTCGCAGAAAGATTCAACCGCGGTGAAACATCTGTCACTCGGTAGTGACAGATGTTTGCACCCCTCGATGACTGCAATAAGGACCCGGCGCTGCGGCGCCCAAGCCGGGCAAATTGCCAGCGTGTACTGAGCCGAGTCCTCACTGCAGTCGCAGTGGTGACAGGCGGGACTCAATTCCCTCCTAGCGACCGAGTGCAGGTACTTCCCAAAGCGGCCGTGCCCGGAAAGCAAAGGGTCCCGTGCTGCCGCCCTGCCCACTCGACGATGACCGACTGAAGCGCCTCCACGGCGGCAAAGCCAGCACGTGGAGCCCCCAGCCGGGACGACCAACGAGCCATCGTGGCTCGACGAGCGACCTCACACCACTCGCGTATCTCTTCGGTCGGGGGCCTACTGCCACTATCCGCCCGGCACTCAGCTGTCCGCCGATATACTTCGGCGAGCACTTCCGCCTCCAAATGCCACGCCGGCCAATGCGCACGCCGCCTCCGTCGATACGGTGCGGTAACCGCGTATGGCTCTAATCGCCAATATCCTCTGAGGGCGCCAGAGCCGTGCCCTATTCTGGGCGATCAGAGCCGCCGCCCACACCGGTGCACCGTACAGTGCCATTGACTTGACTACCCCCGTGTACAGCCGTCTCGTTGCGACGCTGGTCCACCCAAATTGGGTAAAAGTCGCCCTAGGGCAGATGCAGCGCCCACCAGCTTTGGGGCAAGCTGTCGGAAGTGCTCGTTGAAGAGCCATCTCCCGTCAAGAATCAGACCCAGATACTTCATCTGGGCCCAAACCGGTACGAGGACCGAATCGACCACGATGGAGGCGCCGGAGGGTGGACCACGACGGGGCCCGTGGAACAAGAGTGCCACCGTCTTATCCAGGGCCACCCGTAAGCCCAGCGCCTCAATGCGCCTGACCACCAGAGAGACTCCCCTGGTGGCTAGGCGCGCGGCCTCTTGAAAGTCCGCTCCCCGGGCTGTAACCAGCGTGTCATCGGCGTAACAAATAATGCCCAGCCCGGGAGTGGAAGACTGCCCCGCGTGGGCGTCTGAACGCGAAGTCCTGGTCGATGAAATCGGACGAGACTTATCCCCGCCAGCAATCATTACTGCCATGCTGGCGGGTGAGGAGGGCTGGGGCGCAGTGGTCTCTTTCTGTGAAGCTGTAATGCTCCAGATCGAGAGAGGGCCGATGCCGAGCGAAGAAGACGTCGACGGCGGAATGAGCAGCCGACGGGACCGCAGGCCGCCAGAGAGTGGGGACTACTGGTGGCAGATTAACTGCTGCGGTAGGCGATAGGATGGCGGCCTGGTCGCACTGAAAATGTGATCGGGCAGCAACATCTGAATAGGCTGATAGGCAGGGAGAAGCCACTGGCTTTCACTGAGATGGGGCCTAGTTAGGTGCGGCGGCAATTTGGGGGGACCTGAAATCACATGGCCCGGAATCTCCTCAAAGCAGGGCGCCTAAAACTGGCCGTCCGAGTGGTTTTAGCGGAAACAACACCTACCTAACCTATATCGCCTCCTTGGCGATCCGAAAGGATTTTCTACTCCGTCAACAAATAAAAATAAAAAAAAGTACGTCAGTATACGTTGTGCCTAGTAAGACAAATATAAACGGTTATTAAATCCCATACCCAATTTATTTACTACTTAATGTCCACATTGATGATCTAAGATAAAACCATAGAAAGCCAATAAAGATTTGAGAATAAATTGTTTTATACCCTTTACAGAATTTGCCGACATTTTTAATTGGCATTATGAAAAATTTGCCTGATCCGATTACGCTGTGGCGTTTGTGATAAACGCAAAATTTTTCGTTTAATTCTTATTTTCCTGCCATTGAGATATGGTCATTATCCATCATTGTCTTCTGTATTTTTTACACTTACGATCGCGCTCACCACCAAATGGCAATAAAACAAACGCTTGTCATTCAACTCCAAAAAATTGGTTTCTAAATTATAAAAATCCTTAAAAACTGATTGAGACGTATCTTTTTCATTTCATTTCATTTGTGTGTATTTAACTTGCACTATATCTTCGCCAACTGCAGACCGCTTTCATTACTTCTTCGAGTTGGTTTTGCTCAACATACAAATAGGACCACTCCCCCTCTAAAGGTAGAAAATAAAGCGGCGATAATGCTTTTTGAATTTACTCTTCGAGTTCAGCGCAAAGAGGTCGGTTGTACTTGTTTGTAAATAAAACTTATGTTGTGTTTCGTTATTGCAACCACAAAAAAAGCATAATTATAAAAATGAGAACAGACCGAGATTGCTACAGAGTAACAAAAATGTTGTATCCTAAGAGTTTAATAATATTAAGTATTAATAATAAATATCCAGATTGATTTGTTGCCATTTTTTGTAGATTACAACAATAAGGTAGTATTATTATTAGATAACCTATTATAATTATAATTTTATATTGTAACGTCTACATGTTTATTCTTTTGTCTATTAATATGAGCTGAATATTAAATAATTGAGGCTCATGAATAATACACAGGACGTGTTGAATAAGTGCATCTAATTTCACAGTAGAATGTGCAAGTGGACACCCGTAAATCTGTTTAGTTCAGACGAAATTCGGCAAGAGAAATGCTCCATTGAATTCGATAAACAGAAAGGATCGCACGGATCGACCCGGTTAAGCTTTTTGCACAATTTAGCTGTTTACTGTTCCAGTTCACAAAAAAGTTGATGATTTAAGCCGGATAGCGCGTTTACGGTCGACGCGAATGCCAAAATGAAGATTGAAATTATAAATCGCCTATTTACTTTCAGATTTAATTTATAGGCAAACCTTTGTTTTGAATATTGTGATATATAAGCTGAAGTTTTTTTATAATACAGTCTAAGGTTGCAGTTATTTTTTAACCACACTTAACCTAGTCGGGTTACGTATTTTTAACCGACTTCAAAAACACAAAAGACGAGGTTATCAATTCGTCTGTATTTTTTTTGTATGTTTGTTACGCGATATCTCCGGCAATTGTGGACCGATTTTCAAAATCATTTTTGGATTCCAAATTGTATACTCCCGAAGTGGTCCTAGAGAAATCGACGAAAACTCTCAAATTTTATAGGCCGGACAGCGTGTTTTAGCTTGTTTCTCTAACTATAGAGGTATTTGCGTTTAGTAGTCATTATGTCATGTTGCTGAGCTGATGATGGAAGGGTTCTTGACCTTTAGGAGATAGAAGATAACTCTTTCAAAAATCTAATCATGGATGACCTTGTTTTTTTCTTTCACGATATTTGTTAGGTGTTTGTGTTGGGTTACAGAGATATGTGCACAAAAGAGTAATATATGAGATTATAAAACATTTAGACAAAATGATGTGTAATGTATTCTATCTCATTCTCTCGCCGACCTAATTCTATTCATTGATGTGTTTGTTTCTTCATCGTGACGCATTTTTTTTCATCCAGTTTCAAATCACAACGATTCTAAAGAAGTTTCACTTCAAAAATGATTGCTACGCAATTATTTGCATGTTTGTTCCCTCAAAACTCTTTTATTATTATATTATTATATTTTATTATACAACCGATTAATAGGGTTAGAGGGTACTTATTAGTTTTTTTACTTGGATTTGTTATTATTTTTTAATTTTTTGTGTTCTTCATCAGTATTGTTTAAAGTGGGTTTGACTTTTTTTTAAGGATTTATTGAAAACAAAAAACGAATATAAATCTACTTCAAATGTAAGATTTAGCTAAGACCCTTACACTACACACACACAAGCTACACTGTTGCGAGCCTAACGCCATATCTATCTTTTACTTAAAGGAAAACCTTTCTCACTGAAGTCAGAGCATTTTCATACCAAAAATAGATTACATCGTTTGAAGGAATTACAATTCCAGTTTAGCTTCTGTATTTTTACGTCCTACTTTTTTATAGGTTAACTATCAAAGCAAAGTGTCCCATGGAACTACGTAATTTCCCAATGGATCGCCAATCGTGCCCCTTGATTCTTGGAAGTTGTAAGTATTTTTTTTTAAGTAAACACAGTTTGTTTTTTTCTGACTATTTTTCTGTTATTGTGTGTATGTTCAAAGCTAGGAAAAATATATTTCTACTTTAATTTAAATACCAAATGCAAATGAAAATACGTAAAATTATTTCTCAATAAAAAAAAACTTGTGGGTCTCGGGACGCCCGACAGAAGTGATAACTTAAACTACTCTAATATGAACTATTTAATATCGAAATTGTTTAACTTGAGAAAAGCTTAGGTTATTACTTAAATTTTATGTAAAGTGTCTGTCCGCCATACGGCTAGCGCTGTGTGTTAGAGTGGTAGGAGGAGCCTGCTGACGTATGCGTGAGAAAAAGGGAAACCAGACGGACTGGTGCCGTAACGCGTTACGTAACGAAGCGGTTTACCTTCCCATAAAAAGTTATCACTTCAAAAAAGGAGCTACATACTTTGATGAACACTAGACTATATAACATATTTTTGAGACCGCGTCGCGGTTGGCAGCAAATAAAACAAACAATGATGAACACAAACTTCTAATAAGTTATATGAACTTCTTTATATGTGTAAAACTTTCAATAGTAGTTTATAAACTAAAATGTATGTCAGAGTGTATTTGAAATACTAACTCCGATACTTAAAAAATAAATGACAAATACGAACGAACAAATGATTCGAAAGTGTTCAACGGTCAGAGGGGTCTAAGCGTGCATAGCAGTGTAAAATATTTACGATTTCAATTGTCAAAATAGTCTAATGCATATAGATTCATCCCCCTAATCAAAGGCTTAGAGAAAGAAACCCTTCTGGCAATGAAATACGAGTAAGTTGAATGAATTTCAACATATTTCAGAAACCCTTCTGGCAATAAAATACGAGTATGTTGAATGAATTTCAACATATTTCAAAAACCCTTCTGGCAATAAAATACGAGTATGTTGAATGAATTTCAACATATTTCAGAAACCCTTCTGGCAATAAAATAAGAGTATGTTGAATGAATTTTAACATATTTCAGAAATCCTTCTGGCAATAAAATACGAGTATGTTGAATGAATTTCAACATATTTCAGAAACCCTTCTGGCAATGAAATACGAGTATGTTGAATGAATTTCAACATATTTCAGAAAGCCTTCTGGCAATGAAATACGAGAATGTTGAATGCATTTCAACATATTTCAGAAACCCTTCTGGCAATAAAATACGAGTATGTTGAATGAATTTCAACAAATTTCATTGCCAGAATGGTTTCTTTAGTAAATGTTTTTGTTTTTGGGAAATGTAATGATTCAATGTTCGAGATTATGATTAGATTAGAATTAACGAAAAAGTTAAAATGCAATTACTAATACATTTCAACGTAAGTTATAAAGTCAGAAAATAAATAATAAAGAAATGGATTGACTGCAAATGGCAGTCATTCCTTTTAAGTCTTGTCTGTTATCCTTACAGCATTGTATTGTTTTGTAGCTACATTGCTAAAAGTTATTTTAATCGCTTTATTAATTTACTTTTTAGATGCGTACTCGAATCAACAGCTCGTGTACCAATGGCAGAACTCTCAGAGTGTTAACTTTGTCCCGGGTATGACTCTCTCGCAATTCGATCTCATCAGCTTCCCTTATAGAAACTTCACTTTCGCTCGAAGAGAAGGTAAGAATTTCTATTTAAAACTTAAAACCACAACACATGTATAATTTATTAATTATATATTGATGTATCTTTTATGTTTAATTATTTTATTTATATAACTTAATTTTTAAATATTGAGTCTATTGGGCGTGGACTACGTGAGTGGACTAAGTCCGTGGAAAGTATGTTTTTGATAATAATGAATTTATTCGCTGACTTATATTTAAAAAATGTACATGTAGCCTTTTTATACAATTTCGTTTATTCGTCCTAAGAACTGCAATACCTATTTAGTAAAGCGATATGAATGCTTAAGTCTAGTCTCACTTTAGGTTAATATAATGATACGAGTAGTTATACTGTTTGCGAACAATAGTGAGATACAAAAACTGTAAGTTCTTATAAACTATAGTTCATTACCATTACCATTAACCATTATTTCTTCTTTAATACAAGAATGTTTCTGTATTATTTAGTTATTTGCGCGTGACTATACAGATTAAACACAAAGAAGTTCCATTCATTTAGCAAGAAAGTTTGTCTGTCGCAAACAAGAGTAACCTCTTTTATTACACAGCCTATACAAATATAAATATATTTGCTCTCGCAAAGCGTCTTAACATGCTTGTATGATTATTATATCGACAGAATGTTATATAAAATCAATTTGAAGGGCTTTTAGGATTATCTACTTTTTATTAAATTTGAATAAGGCGTCTTAAAATGTGTTTACGCCATCGATATTGAAAGCGTCATGAATGAGAGAGTAGGTCCGACGTCGCCTCTTAAAACACAGCTTTCATCTCCACTAATCACGACCCGAGCCATCTGTACACTTTATCCGCTTACCGCATAATATGATCCAAGCACACGGGAATGGAACACACTCCCCAAACTGGATATTCAACACGAACTCAGAAATTCATTATAACTTCGAATGTGCAGTTCTCTCAAAACCGCATATTGTATGTGTTTAAATTAATATTGTTTAATTGGTTTATTATTTATTATTGTTCCAATAACTATGTTTAATACGATACGGTATTCTTGCGTGAGTGGGTACATCCACGGTCGAACTCACTCTGCCGTAAATGACTTACCCGTTTCTTATTTACTGAAAATTTCTATGCTCCGAACACGTCGCGTTTTAGCATTTTTATCTTAAATTGCCTTCCAGAATAGACCTCAAGTGCTTCTTTATAAATATGATTTGCTTTTTTCGTCTCGGAGGCAAATACAAAATAATGTCAAACGAGTTGTACCGCCCTGTGCCTCGCGTAAAGACACGAATCGGCTTTTACGCTTCAAGAAGTTTATATTCATAGAGAAGGTACAAAATATGTAAATACATAATCGGTCAGTGCTTTTTAGTGTTTTATATATCTTAGCCTTGCTTTTTACTGTAAGTATGATAAAAATAGACTAAAAGAGTGGACACAGTCTTCCCATAGCTTTCAAATTGTTTGCAGGTGAATTTTCAGTGCTACAAGTATCATTTAATCTTCAACGACATACGGGCTATTTCCTTATACAAGTGTACGTGCCTTGCATACTTATCGTGGTCCTTTCTTGGGTGTCCTTCTGGATTCATCGAGAGGTAACGTATAAAGAAATTTATTTCACTTACAACTCCTACAAAAGCGTACTCGTAAACTCGTAAACATTCATTTTCAGGCAACGTCGGACCGTGTTGGGCTGGGAATAACGACAGTGTTGACTCTTTCCACTATAAGTTTAGACTCACGTACGGATTTACCTAAAGTTCGCTACGCTACAGCCCTCGACTGGTTCTTGTTGATGAGCTTTTTCTATTGCATTGCTACCCTTTTAGAGTTCGCTGGCGTACACTATTTCACAAAGGTAAATATGACTCAAGTCTTAAGTTTTTAGATACCAAACGGTATTGAAATAAAGCATAAAATTAGGTTTGTTAGAATTGCTTAATTTGTAAAGTTTCTATTGCTTGTTCAAGCTTAATCGAACTGCTGGGCCATTCAAGGCTATAGGCTTAAGGCCTATAGCTTAGGAAGGAGTACGCTCTTTTCTTTAAGGTTTGGAAATACCGCAAGCGACAATTTGTTCTACAGATTGGTTGTATGAGGCAAAAGGTTTCTTGCAAAGCACACGGTGGAGTATTTATAATAAACATATTAATTTTAAGGCTATGGTATACCAAATTAAGGCCTTAATTATATGTTAACCTGTGATATATTCAGTCAGTAAAAACCAAAAATAAATGTATCATATATATTCACATATCTACCGTACTCGCCGAGATTGAGCATAGCAACTTCCGGGGCCTTGTCTGATAATTATAATATTGAAATGATAAACTACAATGAAATAATATTTTATATTAATCTACGCCCACAAACTTCTTATTTCAGGTTGGTTCTGGTGAAATAGTAATTGATGATTCAGAATGGGAAGAGTTGATAGAAGAGGTTGGCGGCGATGCGTTTGCTGCGCGACAGCTTGCAGTACGTCGACGTAGCTCTGCTCGATCTGTAACTAACTTTGTTAGTACCTACATTTTACGTTTAAATGAGCGTGCTTACTTATGCCTCATAGACAGTCATAAGTAAGCATAATAGAGCATAAGCGGAGTTACTTTACGGCTTAGTGTGTTAAGCTAATGTGAAAGCTTGTAGTTAGATTTAATCATGATGTAATCTTAACCTCATGTTAGAGTTGGACATCGAAGATTAACATAAAATGTTAACATCTCGTCGTTACTTTTGCACTTTTGTTAACTTTGATAAATACTTTATAAAAAGTTAAAATCTCACTTTAAAACAATTAAAACACAACTATCCCCTTTTTGGTTACATCACCGGATGCGATGCGATGCGCTTGAAGCGTGTGCCAAATTGCATTGTCACCTATTGTGTAGTTTAATTTCGATACGAAAAGAAATGGACTTCCAAGATTTGTTAACATAGTTATTAGGAATAGAATGAAATCACAACATCTTTTTTAAATCATATGATTTATAAATAATATAATCACACTTGTGAATAATTTACTCTATGACCAAATCCCAGTAGTGACATCACAGGTGAAATCACAGTGGTTAAAACCAATTATTTCATAATATGATTATCATGATTTAAAAGTAGCTATAATTTCCATCACTAATAGTTACCTACTATTCAAGCTAGTAAAGCTGCATTAAAATTAGGTAAATATACACGGATGCGATTACTTTTTGACTAAGACTCAACAACTTTAGTCAAATTTCTTATTCATACCAAGCCTAATTCCAGAGCTTCACCCTGCCGGCTCAAAGCAACCTAGAAGACAGCGACCGAACACCCGAACAGAGCGCAGTCAGGCTCACCATGGAACGTACCACTCAGACTGAGAGAAGAGTACCTCGTTGGCGACAATTGTTATATTGCTTAGCTGGAGATGACCGGTACAGACGGCAGAGACAAGTGGAAGCAGGTCCCCGACATTTTTTTCTTTTTAATATTGATATACCTAAGTGGTTTTCACTGGTGATAATCAATTTGTGGAGTGAAGGTATTTTAAAAGTAAAATTAAGAAGTCGTGTTGTTGACTGTTCCTAGTAGAAATCAATATACTCTTCTTAGTAGATATTATGACGGTCGGACAAGTGGCGTATGTGTGCGTATCCTGGGCATGAATCGTTACACAGGAAATATCATATTTGATTTCGGTAGGTTTGACTCATTTCACTGTACCTAGAAGTATATGTGGCAATTTCCAGATATAGCAAAAACATTCTACAACGCCATCTACCCAATGATGAGCCGAACTATGTAGAACATAACTACAGATTCTGCATCGCGCAATGGCGGTTTTTGTGTCGAATGACGAACATAGGTTTAGTTTTAAGCCCGTCTGGTCTATGTTTGCCCTTGCAATAGGGGTGAAATTGGATGGCATTTGTTAGAGTGGACCTCACCCATTTTACCGCATATACACAAACGATAACAAACGTAACGATCATAAAATAACATTCGATACTCTTTTTACTTTGTATAGACATAGTTAAGAAATTATTCAAATGAAAACAAAATAGTATTTAGTATATCTCTAGTGTCAGCCGCTCTCCACTTGAATCCTATTCTTCAATCACCCAGGGATTCTACAACGTTTCACTTCTATCACCTGTATTGGGGACTCGACAAATAATAATACATTTGCTCATTAGTTCAATATTATTGACAGAACTGACTATGAAATCTCACATCCCTCTCTCTCTCTCAATAGCACTTGTATTTAAACACAAGCGACCATATAGTAATTAACGACAGTTACTTCGTTCCAGGTAGCAGAGGTCATATAAACAGCGTGTCTCACATCGACAGGGCTGCCAGGGTCCTCTTCCCAGCTTCATTCGCAGTTCTTAATTTATTCTACTGGATGGTCTACGCATTTTCTAACGATGACTTCGCTTGGAGTGACAACCCAATGAATACATTATCCCATTAGAGCGTTCATAATGCATATACCTTGGTAAAATTGCGTTCCCTAGAAAGAGTTATTTTTTGTGTAAGACTTGTACTTTATTGTTTTCTTTTTAACGGTCACTTACAATACTTTCGTCTGACAATAGAAATAGCAACCTTTACAAATTATAAAGACGTGCAGCTTCCAGTTCGAGGAATTTGATGATGTCGTTTCATGAAAAAGTTAGTTTTTCATCAGTTATCCAAGCTAGCACTTATAACACGAAACTGCCCGAAATAAATAAAATACTTAAAAGTATTTAACAGTTAAATTATTCCCTAGATTAGAATATCATTAACACTGTGTTTAAAAATGTACCCACTAAATGTGATAATAAAAACATTAGGTAAACAAAAAAGAAGATAGGTAGTAATCGTATGGTATTGTCATTTCAGAAACACAAGTACTTAACTGTTTTCTAGTCCATATTTGTAGCTTAAAAAAGGGTAATCGTAGAAATAAATAACATTGAATGTTTGCCGATGTTTTATTTTATTCAAAACTTAGCTATATAGGGTATAGTGAATATTGTTTGAAGTCGGAACTTATGAACACTTTGATCTTAAGTTTAATAAATACGATGGGTTTTATATTACATTAGAAAATAGTTTAAGTTTACAAGTGTAAAATATTCCTTCATCTTGTGCATTTAAATTCTATATGTTAAAAATTTATTATTTTGTTTTTTTTTCTATATTGTTAAAAAATTAAATAAAGACAAACTATATATATATATATATAATAACATATAGTAATATAAAGTAGTCGGTTGTCTCGTTGACGTTATTACAGTACACAAGTAATTGGCAATATCAGTCCAAAAAATACAATTTAAATTTACTTCATATTTAATAAAAAGGAGCTACAGTCGAATTCTAAAATGCGGCTGGGACTTGACATGTACCATCAATTGTCATGTGTTAGGTTATACAGGTAATAAGTGGCTTCGTTATTAAGTCTCCAGTTTATTTCGTCAACGAGGCACACAATAGCTTTGGAGACACATTTCCAGTGTAAAGAATGTCATGGTTGTTAACCAAGTTAATATGAAGTCATCCTTATAAACCAAAAACACTGAAATGTGTGCAATAACCGAAGTCGAGCACCATGCAGTTAAATAAAACCACAGAACTACATGTAACTCTGATAACTCTACACAATATTGTTTTAACGACATTTTAATGGAGCTAAAACATACTGTAGCGCCATCTCGTGAAGACCAGTCGGACTACGTAAGTACTACTGATGCGGAATCGCACTATAGTGCTGAGTAGTGTATAGGCAACTTTCCAACATAATTCGTTGGGCTGCAATTGGGCATATGTGGAGCAGGTAATGTGGGCAGGTGTGTAAACGACACGTCACACCTGTTTCTCCACATAGAATCAACAAATTTTAATTATAAAATTATAATTTAGTATACAAGAGCTCGGAGGGAAGGCTTTTTTAAATAAAACGCTAATTTTTGTTTATAGCCTGCACACAAGACTAAATAATATTTTAACAAAATATTTTATAAAATAGCTGCATTGTAGAGAGTACGTGGCGATATTAAAAAATACTTCTAAATTAAGTGAGCTCTTTTCTGCACTAACAGGCATACTTTTCTGGACTTAGTACACTTCATCATCAAACATCAAGTTTACATTTCAAAGTCAATCTCTAATTATATATGTTCACTTAATTTAAAAGCAAAAGGCATTATGTACACTATTTTTGTAAATATAATTATATTTTAACACTCGTTTATCGGATATCACAATAAATATGTTAATTAGTCGTTATCGAAAACGTAATTATGAAGAGGTCGATTTCGAAGAGAGCAAGCCTTACAAGTTTTGGTCCAACATTTTGTAAAAATACAAATACTTTTAGTTGCAAAACTGCCAACCTTCATATACGCCATTCCTAAATAGAAAATAGACATTTCGAAGGCATATAGTAAATACACAGTGGAATGTATAGTTTTTAAGGCTTTCATCATAAGTATGAAGACTACCCACTACATCAACACCGAATATTCAAATATTGAATTGTATAACATACATATTTTAGAATATATCTCATGGACAATTTTGTTAGACTACATTCTTGCCTACAACAATGGCGGTGTGGGAGCGGCGACAAACGCCTTAATTAGTATTAATTAGTATATGCATTTATTTTATATGGAACTTTGGTCATCGCTCCCGCGCCGCTTATGCTGCCTTGGGAACGCAGTCTTACTAGGAAATACTTTTTTTCTAATAAAGGTGTTATATGCGGCACAGTCAATAACAGCTTTACGTATAATTTCTGGCTAGTTAAATTTTAAACCATTAGAATATATTTTTTTTTCGATAGCAACTAATTCAGTTAGCTGTCATAGAAGAAAAAATTGTTTAGTCACAGAACGCAAACATGAAGTTGTATTTATATACACAAATTGCTTGACACTGTAAGACAGGTAAGTATTACGATCCGCTTAAGACTACAGTGTCTTTTTAATTATTTAAAAGTTCTCATTTAAGTAAGGATTAAAGTATTTAAGTGATTGGCTAAAATTACATGAAAAAAATATCATTTTGTAGCCGAATATCGCATAATTAAAAAGGCAAGGATTTTAGTTAACCATAATAAACCGCGCGAACGTAATATTGCTACTCATTCATTCCTTTAAACAATTTTTAGGAAAACTCTTGTTTGTGTTTGGTGCATTTAAATGAGCCAGTGTAAACTGTATTTAATAAATAAATAAAAAATAATATTGTACCACATTCACACAAAGCCATCTAGTCCCAAACTAAGCAGAGCTTGTACTATGGGTACTAGACAACTGATATAAATACATATATACTGTTTTTTGTAAATACATATTTATTATATATAGAAACACCCAGACCAAATCAAACATTAAATGTTCATGCACACAAATGTTTGACTTGATCGGGAATCGAACCCGCGACCTTTGGAATAGCAGCCCGTTACACAAACCACTACACTTATAAAACATAAACAGCAATACGCAAAACTCACTTCTATGTGCGAACAAATTATACTCTGTGCATTCGTTTACTGTCTTTTTGACAGTTGTTTGACAACGTAATAATGGGTTTGTAAAATTTAGTTAAAAACACGTAGTAAGAATAAAATGTGCTACGTAAATATATGTATAGTATTGATAAAAAGAATCTGTTTCTAAGTTACGTTATCGTAAATTTTGAACATTTCTAAATCGATATAATAATCCTTTCGTCTAAAATTACGTATGGTTTGAATTCAAAAGTTCAATTTCAAACTTGAGAGTACTGAACAGATAAAAAGGGACACTAGATTCTTCACTGAGTCCTCATTTATTAACAATCAATTCTCATGAGTATACTATAATGTGGGTATAAAAATTTATTAAACGCATTCAGTATTTTTCCTTTAATATCTTGTTTTTTTTTCAATCGATATTATAAATTTTAATTTAACTGTCAAAAAGAAAACAAAGAATCGAGTATAATAGCATTTTACGAACATGAGAAAACGTATATGTATAGGTGCCGCAAACAAAAATGTACTATAATCGTAGAAACTAAGTAAGAGTCAATTTTATGCGAAATTACCAGCTAATATGGTTAATATGCAGCCAATTCGATGTTTGATCTACCTTTTTAATAACATCATGGGGTTATGTGCGATATAACTAAGAGGAACCCATAATTACAAACATTTTGAGTAATATTCGGTCGGCCGTCGTAGGATTACCTAGAGATTGTCGTAAGATTGACAAAGAACTTGTTCAGCATCTTGTGGGTTTAAGAACATGAGCATATTATTACTACATAAGCACGTGTCCCATCTGATTTTATACAAAATCTCTTACCCTTACAGCTTAAGAATGCTCATTGTAATCGAATGTCGACGTGTACAAATAGAAAACAAGTTAATTAAGCACGAACATTCCACGTCTACTAAACTAACACATATGAGCTCTTAAACCGACAACTGCACACCCGCCATCGGCTATTTATCAAAACAATAGATATAAACACCTCTGATACGTATATATACTACTATCTGAGCACTATATTATTATATCAATCACTGTAGTACAAGTCATACCATCATAAATATATAAAAATTATCAGCGTATCTAGATATTATATACCTATTATAAATAATTTGATAATACAAGAAAAGATTTTAGCTATCTATACAAATTTGATTTGAGCTAAACGACGAAAAATCAAGTTTAAAGATTAATTTTTGTACGCGTTAAGAATAAGTTTTTGATATAACTCAAAAAACTTGATAATTTTTGATCTGATGTTGAAAATCGAATGTTTTAATTCAGTTACATAAAATTTCTAAATAAACGAATGTGCTATTTATAGATAACATACTTTTTTCATTAAAATATGGTGTGTATAGATTTAACAGTTTTTTACTTCCTATACGTTTTAAGAAACTATTTCAACATTAAATTTTTAACAACGTTTTACGATTCTACATGAAACTTAATGTGAATGAGTCTTTACAGCTAATTGTGAACATTTTTGAATCGAGTGAAAAATGTCTCATTTTTATTTAATAGAGGTATTATTATAAAAACGTTTCATTGTCAGAGCAAGTTCTACATATTTACAGTTCTAGAATATGAAAAAGACATGTTCCTATAATTCTCAAGAATTATTAAAAAAAATAGATTTAATTACAACAAAATCAATAATTATCTAAGTAAATTGTTTATACAAAAAAAGTAGACCAAACGATATTTTAGTTTCGTTTTGCGTTCCATGATCTATAATTATAAACACGGGAATTAATAACTGTGTGATCACGTCTAGAGTAGCCATTTCGAAAAGTCAGTTACTTCAAAGGTATGAAATACCATCATATTCATTTCCGAATCTTTAATTATATAGAACTAAATATACTCTGCCACGTTTCGCTGTGGCACATAGTGGTTGGAAAAAAATATATGAAAACCATCTTTGAAAAATGTTGTAAATCGTGTTAAAATTTGAGATCAATCGGTGCAGAACTTTTTGAGTTTTTGAAACGTACACAAACCTAGTTAACATTTTTATAAATCATTTAATACATAGATTGTATTGATGCCTATCTGCTAGGTCACGATATAATGCGCACGTAAGGTAAAACACGTTTGGTCAGACACGTTTCCTTAATGGTCGGTACATTGGCAATAAGTGATTATAATCATATTTTCCATTTTATTACCTTAATATATTATTTCGATAATTGCTTCTAGATGCGTTTGTATATTAAGTAGTATATACATAGGTATGCATTCTTTATCTATTGAAGACTTTTAACCATTATTAGATTTTTTTCTACGCGGCTTCGCAAAACTGTTTATAGGTTACAGGAGCTAAAGATTAAAATGGAAGATAATAGCAATTTATTCTTAATGTTAAAACTGTATTAATTTTAAAAGAAAATAAGAATTGTACTAAAGTTAGCATTCCTTTATATGGATCAAAAGTATGTCATATGCAGCCTATGCATATATATATCTATAAATTATTTGTAAATTTATAATGAAGTAAAAATTTCCATTTATTAAGTGTCCACTATTTTAAAGTTGTAATATACTTTAAATAGATAGCATATGTCGCTGAACGATAATATCAAATCAATCATTGGACTAATCTCTTGAATATATATTCCTTCACCGACCCTAGTCCCTATTAATAGATACTGTGAAAGGAATGGTAGTCTTATTAAGTAGTATTATCTTGAGTGTACTGCAACGGACCTTAAACACCTACAGAACCCGGATCTACAAAATTGACAGAAAAGTTGTATAAGCAATGCTACACACTATAAACATACATGTCTACTAGCTACCCAGTATTAGTACCATTGACTTAAAAACTAAACATCGATTTAATTACAATCATATAAATATAAAACATTATTTGCTAGCCCAAGTGGGTAAATATTCATTTTTATATACAAATATAAATTTATTCTCCGTAATATTAGAAGGTAAATTTGAATATACAAGTCACAACGACAACGGTCCAATTTTAACAATGACAGTTTCTGTTTACCATAATTATCTCACTTCAGAGTAGACTGCATCGATGTAAATAATAAATCTATATAAATTATAAAAACTGGACCGCTCCCATTTAATTTTGAAGACTAGAACACTGGTCACAGATATTTCGGTACAGGCAAGGAGATTTTAATAGCTTTAATTACACATTCGAAAATTAAATATTCACGCACACACACAAACATATCCACATAAGCTAGAATAAGGACCAGGATACCTCAACGGCAAAACAACTGACGTCAAGTTATTACGTCATTTAGTATGTTGTGTTATAAATTAGGTGGGTCCCTGAAACGCTCGTTGCAACACCCCGAGTATTTTCTCAAGCCTTTAACTCACACTTACAATATACCGCACACAATAAATAAGAATTTCATATATTCACATATCCGATATAAATTATTAAATCACAGATTCTATATTCCATTATGAATATTTTTATCTACGTATCTTTTCTACCTACTACAAGATAAACATTCATGTTATCTTTGCCTTTTACATAAACACTGCCTCGCGGTTCGAACTCATATCGAGCCGACAACACCGGTATACAAGCCTCGCCAACCTGGATCCGTTTTGGAACTCCAGTGGTATCCATCCTTGAAGCTATATTGACAGCATCACCCCAAATGTCATAATATAGCTTAGAAGTACCAATGACACCAGCAGTGACATCACCAAAATTGTAGCCAATCCTAAGTATAAAGTCGAATTCGAGCAAATCCTGATTGAAATCGTCCACCACCTTCTGCATTTCCATTGCAAACTCCATCAGTTGATATAGATGGTCGTGAGTACCGCGAGCGTCTTGTCGTAAATCAGGGTTGAGTCCGCTCGCGGCCATAAAAGTGCTTCCTATAGTTTTTATCTTCTCAACATGTTGAAACTGTGGTTTTTCTAATAACTCATCAAAATCCCCAATTAGTTCATTGAGTACTCTTAGGTATTCCTTTCCTTTCATATAAGATTCGTCGTACATTTCATTAAAATTAACTATGCTAGCAAATATGATTCCAACATCTTTGTGATTTTCGGAATATTTCGCCGTGTTCTTGAGCTGGTCAGCGACATGCCTAGGTATGATATTGTGGAGCAGCCAATCTGCTTGATTTCTCATGTTTTGTACTCTCTGTTTGTCTCGATTAGCGACTACATTACTGTAAAAGCTCAAGCGATAGCTAATCTCGAACTCACGGTTGAGGAACCAAACTAACATCAATAGTAGTGCGACATCTAAGTAAAGTTCTGTCAAATGCATCTTGTGTTGCTTACTATCGAAGGTCAGAGTGACGTTTTCCGTTTCAAGCCAGTCTCCAGTACCGTTACCCATGGTTAGCTTTGTTGAATTGTGGAAAAACATTTGTGGAATTAATTTTAAAGTAATATCACCGTCAAGAAATTGAGTATTTGCTTCGTGACAACCAAGCACGACAAAAAATAGGAACAAACCAGCATATAGAGTCACTAGAGTATTTTTCACAAGCCAATTCATTTGGGTGAAGTTGCAAAAATGCACCACACTCGTACAGAGTAAGTAAACATAGAACGACTGTTCACCTCTCAGTATTGTCATCGTAGTGTTTTGACACGAAAAATTTATGAGCACGGCTAATATCGGCAAACTGATAAGCAGTCCCCCGGACAAATGCCACGGATACCAGCTAGACAACTTTCTAAATATTCTCACTTTCCTTGAAATCGATTCTGTGAGTACTTCGTGATTAGTGGTCCATTTCAAATAGTGTCTGTAAGAGCATAGAATCATGGCTGCGATTTCTATAAAAAGAAAGAAGATGAACCAGCCCATGGAATACCACCAATCATTGTACAATACAAATATTGAAATGGTCACTGATAAAAAGATTATTGCAGATACTAAAATGTCTAGTGCAGTGTTGAATCGGGATGTTGTGAGCGTGGGTGGAAAGTCTTCGCAGTCGTCGCTTCTATGGGCTTTGTCCCTGTAATGTTTCTCTATCTCATTGGTTTTGAAGAACAACGTGAATCGGTTTAGTGGAGGTTGGACAAAGTAATTGATGCCAGAACGGGCGTTGTCTTGCACACATCGTATAAGTTGGAGATCGGATTGTTTGCGAAGTTTCTGTAACGACCGTACTTGTTCCTTGTTGAGAGGAGGTGGCAACCGAACTCTGGGGTGTGATTCATTGAGCGAAGATTGACTTGAAGTATAATACCCAGATACTCGATGCTGCATCATATCGGTGTGCGACGTTGCTATATGATTTAACGCGTAGATCTGAAAATATTAAATGTTAATAAAATAAACGAATTTAATAGGCATTTAGCTAAAAGGCATCTAGCTATCAAATATTATTTATAATTATAATAATTCTATTCTATTGTGTTTAGTAAATGGCGTTCAATGTGTTAAAGTCAATTTGTGAATCAATCTTGTGGAGGGATAATGGTAGTAGACAAGTCATCGGGAGGCCATTGGTCTTACATAGTTAGTAGAATACGAAAAGTGCAAAACGATTCCATCGACAGTCTATTGATACAATATTAGAATAGCAGAATTGAGGCCCAGGTCATCAGTTCTGGCGTGAATAAATAACAAACATCCATCTAAACTCAATATTATCGAATTATCAATTTGTAAGGACAAATGATGATGATGAGTGGTGGATCTATAAGTTCATCACGATTTAAAACTATACGAGATAATCACTCATATTTATACAATACATTTGCATAAGTAAATTTTATTACGAAGCTGTATTTAATTAAAGCATAAATATATTATTTATTATTTGAAATGCAATCACACTGTAACCCAGTAACGGTGGCGTATAAAACGGTTTGTTAGGAACTTCCTTCCGCGGACGCAAATACTCTTTATTAAAATCCCATAGAGGCTTTACCTAGTATAGTCATAATAAAATTATAACGTATGCGTCAGAAAGGCAACAAAAAGCCTAGAATGATTTCTGAACTATGAATATATTTCTTTTTATTTTTGATTTATATCTTTCTTGTATACAGTTAACACATAAGTTACTTACAAATATGTAGATATTTATAATTATTCATATTTGTACAATTATTAGTCCGACTTCCATTTAACAATATAGAAAAGAATGTTGAAGGGAAGATGAATGAAACGCCTTTCTCTTGCATTTCACTAAAAAGTGATGTAGAAACACATGTAACACTAATACTTGACTTGGTGACGTTTGGTTTAAAAACATGACGATGATTTAACATGTTGCTTTTCTATCATGGCGTCCTGTAAGTGTATTTATTTTATTTCAGTCCTCTTGGTCTTGACGTAATACCTAATCCCCTGACAGCTGGAAATGCGACATTTGGTTTGTTTGCGATGACGCAACCACTCACTAAGAGAGTACGTAAGTGATTTGTAACTTGACTCTGCGAATTGGGCGGTGAATCTGTGTATTTTTGGTTACATCAGTAATATACACCGGTTACTTCATAGAGAACACTAAAGTGAAAATCATTTTTTTAGCACAATGAATATTTCTCCTTCAAGCAATTTAAAACCTTAGCATCAGAGTAATAAGACTTTAATAATGTTCAAACAACGATATGACCAGAATAGTTTACGACTGGTGCATCGTAATTTTATGGGAATCTGTTCATAATATATTAAAGGCATGTTTACTGTTTCATGAAAAAGAATTCTCGCTGTAGATCAAATTTATTTATGAAAAATAGCAAGGCGGTGTTTATGCAGATGGAATTTACGCTTTTACCATAATTAAAAATACATCAAAGCATGTACCTGCTGTTGTATACTTGAACGGCGACTTGTGCTCCTGATACCGGAATCTTTGCGGCTGTTCACTGAGGGACACAGGCTGATGGCGTCATCAGGCGGCCTTGACGGCTGCGGCGAAGGCAGGGGTAAGTTCAACTGACGATCTTTAGGACGTATGAGCTCGTCCTGAGTGGTGAGAGTGGAACTCCGAGCGCGACATACCGGCACCTAAATGTATAAAACCAAATGTAATACGAATATAAATTTAAAATACCCTTGGCTCTACTACAAATCCTTTTAGCGATTAGCAGTAAAATGATGGTCTACAAACGGCTGAACAAATTTTCTTGCATTACAGATAAAAACGCTTCGATAAAGTCATATATACATGCTTTGAATTTATTAACCTTAACTCTGCTTTACGGGGTTTAAAAAAATAAGCACCATCTCTAGAATATGTCATTTACATCCATATTTACAAAGGAAGTTACTTACTACTAGTAAGTTAAAAATAAGTATATTTCGTACGAGATCATATTATCGAAACGATTCATTACAACTTTATGTAAACATCTGAATTACTTACAATAATATTTGTGAGTTATAGATGAGTAAGAGTTATATCTATCATATACTATTATCATCAAGCCGATTCACGCGCATTTGAAATAAAGAACGATTGTAATATATTTGTTATACTTAGTTCTTTGTTGCATTGTCATCAATTTTCTGTCTATTTCTCAATTTTATTTGGGGTCAACGAAAGCATTCAGGCAGGTTTTCTTTTTGCCCGGCAAGTAGCTTACGGCTATCCTTTATTGATCCCTTGATGAAAATTTTATCGTTTTCATTCTGATAAAGGTAGAAGCTGAATTGTGTGTAACATGATAACCGATAAGGCTAAGGAGCTAGGGTAAAGGACAGCACAAGACTCAGAAAAGAAAACGGGACTTAGACTAAAGCAGCTCCAAGAGGCTGCGTACATACACGTGTGACCGTCCTGTGACCGGGAATTCCAGTAGGACCAGGAGATCTATTAGCCTTCCTATTCTTGCACATAATACTTATTAAACAAACGAAACCTATCACTTACCCTGAATTGTTTATGATCAAGAATAAACCGATTGAAAAGACCTGCCTATTTCTGGAATATTTCTGAGGATATTTCATGAATGTGTGACGTAAGAAAGTATTGACTTCATGCCAACACTTGCCTGATATAATTTCTACAGGTTTATCATTTGCTGTTCCCGTTATTGGTGATTTGGTACATTTAATTCGATAACCATAATTATAAAGATTAATACTTAAACTTGGCTTACCAAGTAAGCAAGTAAATTTGAAAATACTTCATATAAAATTCTATATTCTACTGAAAAATTATTACGTCTTGTGTAAGTTATAGAACAAATTTTCCGCGACCTATGGTCACGACAAAACTAATGAATACGATAAACTCAGAAAGTAACTACATAGATAAGTAAATAAGTGTAGCTATGTATAATTACACAATGAGCAGCTCAGCATAGTGTACTTGAATTGGCGTAGGTACATGTATGTACAACTTTTATTGTAACTCCTAAAAGGATTAAGACGTTCATTGGCGGCGATGGTCACTTTTCATCAGGTGGGGGAGATTAGCAGAGGAGGGTTCCTCTGCTAATCTCCCCCTCTATCATAAAAAAAAATATTTCGCCATTTTTGACTAAGCATTTGATTTATGGAACGTTATAGGTCGATACTTAGCTTATCGTAACAGAATAGAGATGTAAAACTAAAATAATTTTTAAAATGCAACCGAATTAGAAGAAGTAGAAGGTTTTCATCAAACTCCTTTTTTTAAATTGGTTAAAAAACGAATTAAAGAATTAGTATTTATGATGTGTAAGTGTAGTATGTGTGTATATGTTTATATATGTAGTGAACCGTATTTATTTTCATTGTACATTTGATATTATGATGTAACCTCTGTGCACCTACCTTACAAGATTTCTACATCACCCAAAGGTTGACTGGAAGAGAATGCCCTGGGCATTAAGTCCGCCGATGTATAAAAGTGCATAAAGATAAATAAATAAATAAATAAAGAATTTAATTTTTTCAACTCTGAATTGATGGTAACCGGCCTTCCACTAGGTAGGTGTCCTATAAAAATAAGTGTATCCTCAAAAACGAAATGAATATTGTCAGGTTAATTACATTTTAATAATAACATGTATATCATTCCAGAGGAGAATAACCAGATATTTGAAATGACTTGCGCAATCATTGTTTATCTGTTACTCACATTGCCCCCGAGTCAAGGGCGAGGTTTAAAAGTTTATGTTTCGTAACCAAAACTTTTGATAATCGCAATAAGATATAAAATCGATAAAACGTACAGATATACATATACATCATGATAGTTGAATATTTCTTTTTATATCTATCATCATAAGATAGTATTACATCAAGTGTTAGAAAATATTATTTTACTGGTTTTTGTTTGCGAATTACATCCGCGTTCCTTGAGAAAATTTAATACAATCATAATAATAATGTTAAACGCTTTTTTTTATTTTATTTTTTCTACACAACGCCATCTAGTCCCTAACTAAGCAGAGCTTGTGCTATGGGTACTTGACAACTGATAAATACATAAATACTTTTTTTTTTGTAAATACATACATATTATACATAGAAAAACCCAGACCAAATCATACATTAAATGTTCATGCACACAAATGTTTGACTTGAGCGGGAATCGGGAATCGAACCCGCGACCTTTGGAATAGCAGTCCGTTACACAAACCACTACGCCATCCGGTCGTCCCTACTACAAACTCTGAACTTTCTGGCTTCTATACAAAGCGGTTAAAAACAAATGACGTCGACCAGCAACACATTTATAATTCATAGAAATCAAAGATGTAAATGTTTCCTATCTTTAATTCCTATGAATTATTCCTGCGACTTTTTACTACTACTAAAATAAAAATGAACTACCGATCGACGTCATTTGTTTACGACGGCTTTGTTAGGAAGCGAAGCTTTGTATTTTCTATCTCTGAGGATGATTCTCATGAATTCCTTCGCTAGTGACTTCTTCTTCAGAAAAAGGTAGTAAGACAGTAGTACTAGCGCGGTGGTGTTTTTAAGACCGCATGGGCGAAGGATATGGTTGATTATGATTGCTTCTCAAAGACAGCGAACCCACCTCACCAAGATTAATACCTTCAACAGACTTCCTGATTAGCATCCCAGAAGTACGATGGTTTATGTTCGTTTTACGCCAAAGTTACGGGCGGAATATAAAGGGTGGAATTTAATGCCATAAACACCGCGAGATAACCTTTGAAGTTGTCGATTTCTTTGCCATTGGCACAGTTAACATTGTTCAATAACATTTATCATTTAGAGTTACCGACGATGATTTAGCGAACTATAAATACTAGCGATGTACTGGATATTCGTATCTGTATCTGTAATCGGAGATCTAGATACTAATATTTATACGCGTTTAACGCGGTAATCGCCGGTACTACTGGTTCGAATGGAAAACTTCTTTTATAGTTGGATATCATCAACGTTCATTTCTCATGGAAGACTATAGGCTGTATGACATCACGCTATGACCGATCAATGAAAAATTTGTAAAAACTCTGAAAATTTATTCTTTTTGAGAGACCCAGTCGGAGTTGGGTCAGCTAACCACAATAAATCGCATAACCTAATACGCATTTATCTACAGCTACGGGAAGAAGTAAGATATGTTATCAAAATATTTAGTATCAAAGGCTATTGACACTGACAAGTATAACGTATCGAGATTTTACGAAAGCGATTGATATAGCGACTCATGCGTAGATAAATAGGAAACAATAGAAAATAATTTAAGGAAAATAACAATTGTCGGGACACAGCACAGGAACACATTTGCCTAATTTATAATTATAATTAAGTCAACATAATAATAAAAATTACGTTCTTTTGTTACAAGATAGCTAAAAGAGTGGTTTAGCAGTAGGATCTCTGATGGCCATTACTTAAATTTTTGAAAAACAATTGCTAGTAGAATGCATGTTTCACGGTTTTTCATCACCAGCTTGTTCTTTTTAATGTTGAGGCTAAGTTGAGATGAAATTAGACATCCATCTGGATGTTAACACCATGAAGTCGTACCAGTTCACATAAAATTAAACAATTCCGTAATAAACCGCATCGTAAAAAGTGTCAGTTCAGAACAACGCTTCTAACAACCTTGAAAGCTTGTATAAAGTATATTATTATTATACCAAATTATTGAAATTAATTATGATAGCATGTAACTCTTTCTGTTTTCTTTATTATTTGGATAACTTACTTACTTCAATTACTGAACATATTCGATGAATGGACAACGATACATTTTTCTATTGTAAATCGCGATAGAAATAAAAAACTCGCGTTGTTACCTCGACTGGTACCCATACGGGTAATGCTTATTGTCCATGGTTACATATACAACCAACTAATGGTTATTTTTTACTTTATTGTGTTTAGTTAATCACAGTCAATACTTACAATAGATAAGTGAAAATTCGCTTTTGTAATAATTCACCAGCTAAGTGCAGAAAAAGTAATAAAATTACGACCTACCAAAGACACCAACAAGATTACCTATCCATGATAGGGCTAGTTAATTTGACAGAATCTAATACCATTAAACGAGCAATTCTTGGATTTATATATATATAGATATAATCTCAATCTCGGAAACGGCTCCAACGATCATGAAGTTTAGTATGAAGGGGTTTTCGGGGGCGATTAATCGATCTAGCTATGTTTCATTTTTAGAAAATTTACCAAAAAAATACCGAGCAAAATTTGGGTCTTCCAGATACTTAGTTATTAAATAAACCCTAATAATATGTTTGCTTTTTAGTCCCTTATTTTGCCAGCTCGAAAATGCATACATGCTATTGTAAAATGCAAAAATACAGCTTAATGGTTTTAAAACATTGAACTCCTTGTTTATATCTCAAACGCATCAATAGCATTACCTCACTGTTCGGTCTTCCATACTGAGATCGGTAACTGCTGCTTCTCGCAAACGGTGACATGTTACTCCTCGACTGGCTGAGATACGACCGTATATCTATAATATCCCTTTCGAATGACGCAGTTTCCTGACTCTGCGGTAGGTTCACCTTACTGCTACTCTGCGCCGGTTTATTCTTATTGTCTTGAGATTCTATTACTATAGGCACTTGCTGGTAACCATTGCTCGACTGAAAACCTGCACTGACGTCACCACGCTCCAAAAACTGTATAGCCTTATCGGTCAATTCTTGTTTCTTAATCTCGTGAAGCGGCGTATCAGAATGCTTTCTCAAGAATCTTGGTACTTTCCAATTTTTTAATTTAGTTGTGTATTTCCCGTAACTTCCTAAAATGAAATAAGAAGTTAAACTATTGCAATTTGCAAATGCAATCCTCTACACTGTGAAATAACAAAACGCTTTACCAAGTTCTCGAGTCAGTGTGCGTTTGTGTGTTGTAATTTTCAGACCACAGTTAATTTTCAGTTTATTATGTTATGTTATGATTAAGTTTCAATAAAATAAATGTGGTGAAAACTATTCAACAGTTAATAAAGCATTACATATGCGTTCGTATTATAGGTTTTTAAATTTTACACAAGGTTTCAATTTCTACCTAATGTACAAACTAAAACATAAACATTCGAATTGATTTTAAAGATTTTATTAACAGATATTCAAGATCTTAATAGCCACACGCCTTCCGAGTTAACTGAACCAAGCATCTCGCTCGTGGCGTGATCTGCGTGACAAAGAGCGTCACCTTCACGTAATGAACTCACTCTATATCTTATCAACCAATGCCTCATGTTCGTGATAGCTACTAACTACTATTTTTCCACAGTTTAATTCTTAATAATATGTGGGCATGTAAATAAAAAATTAATCGATATAAGCACAGTACATACATTAAGTTATAACGTAATATTACAACTTCGATATTCGTGTATTTCAATCAATATCAACCTTTACAAAATATTCGTTTTCTCCTTGAAAACTTTTACTGTTTGTTTCTACTTTCAGGACTTTAACGAAAATTGAAACGTCCAAAATGTCCATGATTGGGTAAACATTAACATATGTATCTATTACGGGCTTCGTGTCCATGCGATTTTGCGGTAATTTGATTGTCACGTGAGTTACTTATAGTATTTTCATGTGTGACAGGTAATTTATGACCTACAGAACTGAAAAATATAACAGTATACGAAAGTTGTTCACAACTGAGTTCGCAATAATAAACTGATACCTGAATTTTAGATAATTATAATCAAACGTAATGAATGCATTACGTTTAATTATTTAAAATTTATGTGTTACAAAGAGAGCATGTGCTCAGCCAACTTACCTACAGATGTTGGGCTTTTTGAAGAGCTGTCGTTTCTATCCGAAAACCCCTTATCCCTTTTTTCATCCAATTCTGTATCTGAATCCAAAATACTGGGTAACGAACTAGCTTTTGTACGGAAATTGAAGGCGCCCGGGGAGAGGAAGTTTCTAGTTTCGAGTTTTCGACAGGATGTTCTATTATCTCTCGGTGAGAGTGGTAGTGGGGAATGATTGAATAGGATGGATTGAGGTGAAGCTGCAGGAGATATAATGAGGCGTAAATTTATTTGATTAGACGGAGCAAGGCAGTTTTCGTGGTCATAAGGGGAGTACAGCTGCCGACCTTCAATGAAATAGGTTTTGTGACCTGAACAAATACATACATTTTAGAATAAATTAAAGAGGATCATGCAATTCGTATATTTTTATGATGACTTACCAAAAACGTCATCGCCTTCCTCTAAAACATAAGAACCTCCAAGAAACTTGCTAGTTTCTTCCGATATGTGAACTCGACCCGGCTTTCCAGTTGATTCCATTTTATTGGCAAAGCTTACGTCGTTGCTCCATACATCAAATTTAAATCTCCGTGTACCGACAATACCACATAGTACAGTACCAGTGTGAACCCCTACTCTCATATTTATTCCTTCACCGCGCACTCTATCAAATTCTTGTATAGCATCAATCATACCTGAAATGTTGATAGTGCGTCAGAAATGTGTCAGTTTGAGCTACAAGTTGAAAACATACCTATGTGTTAGCTGAGATATGCATATGTCTATTACATAGATAATATTTTTGCGTTTCATTCAGGGGCTATTGCAATTTTGAAAGTTGTTCTAATATACTCACCAAGTCCCATCTCTACACAGCAAGTTGCATGATCTGGTCTTGGTTCTGGGCAGCCCGATATACAGTAATAGCAATCGCCTAACGTAGAAATTTTCTCACATCCGTGATTTTGACATAGCTCATCGAATTTCTCAAATAGATCATTTAAAATATTCACTAATTCTTCGGCACCTTTATTACTTGACATCCTCGTAAAGCCGACAATATCGGCAAACAATATGCTGACGTTATCCATGGAGCTCATGTTGAATGGTCTAAATAGAGACTTAATGTCTGACGCTCCAGGGTTTGAGTTTCTAGAATTGAGTGGGTTGTGTGGCCTTAAACTAGTGTCTGATTCAAGCACTTGTTCCTCCAACAACCAATTAGCAACTTTCGGTGGCATCACAGAAAGTATCATCTTTTCTTTTAACTGTTTTTCCATCTCAAGTTGTTTCCTTACTAATAAGCTCTGTCCTACTTTCATAAAAGTGCCGCGCATTCTGACAAACGTCATAAGGTAAATATGTACACCTATAATGTGGACACAGAGTTGCAAAAGGATTCTCACAAACATTCCAGGGCACTGCCATTCTTGTTCTGACAAATGTAACACAATATTGAGCACTTCAAACACTATTGAATATAGGATTCCAATAATAACACAAGCATATAGTGGTAACGGTGTCAGTGTATATATAATGAGCAATATTTCAATGCACATAGTGAAGTGTCCCGACTGGCTTATATCGGCGGCTTGGGAGAATGCAGCTGTTTCTAATCGTGTTGTCAGTGTCACCAGTGATAGGCTGAGTGTACACAGAGCGAGTGCCATAACCAGGGATAGCTTGAATGTATAGATTCTATAAATATTTGTAAATGTAACAAATAGCATAACAGATGTTATCAAGAGGACCACGCCAAATATAGAACAAAAAGATGGCCATTTTACTGGTATGCCATTCAAACCTAGGACCACAAAGTAGACAAACCATGATATAGAAAATATCAAAATGTATAAAAGTGCAAATCTGAAAAAAGAAAAAATTTAAAACTTAATTTTCTCTAATGATAATACTTGTGTTATCAAGCCATTTGTAATTTACATTCATGCAACAAAATGACACATTAATTTATTAAGTCAACTCACTTACCTAAATCTTAGCCTTATTTGCCTAAAGGAACTACTTCTGTATTGGCCTTCGAGTATCTCTGAATCGAATCTAGGATTCCACCAGGTTCCAGGTGCTGCTCTTTCAAAAGCAATTGGTATTGTAAGACCACAGCAGTTTGTGGTAGGGTTGTTACGTGCCAGGTAGACTTGCACGTGTGGCGCCATTCTGATCTGGGCGTCCTCGCCCTCTGAGCACTCAGCATCATGTTTGCTGTCAAACTGATTTGAACCATCACCGCAGCTGACACACCCACTTTGTTCTGTCATTTTTTAGTAAATAATATTATGACATCCATCATTAAACTGCAAGACCCACTGCTTTGGCCATAATGTGGTTCTGTGTGAAAAAATATGGATTTGTATGCAACGAAAGATAACTTCATACATCGATACCTTAATTCGAAAACCAGCCAATCACATTTTTCTTAATCATAAACAAATAATCCTAAGTCTTCTTAGTATTACTTGTAAAAATGAAAAGTAAAATCATAAAAAGGACATTACACGTAAGCGGATATTTTTAATTTTTTGAATAATAAGTACCTACTTAACAAAAAATATTATAAAGTGTTATAGAAGTACCACTTGTAAAAAAAAATAAACAAAATGAAGTTGATAGTATTATTTGCTAGTCTTGTACGGTTCGGTTATCAAATGATATAAGACATTCTACATTTTTTGTGAAAATACTGATGAGATATGCCACTGATTAGGCAGAGGCCTAACAAAAAATGCACCACTTATTTAGTCCAGCAATTATTCGAATTGAATAAACACACGAAACTGAAAGCGCCTAAACCCATAACTACTACTCTACTAAGAAAAATACTTTCTACACGGCTATCTTAAAAGGAAACCAGGCAGTGTTATAGATTTTATAGTATAGGTACTTTATTTTATTTTTATAAACTAGCTAGCTTAAACTAATTTTTCTCGCCCCCTTTCCACCACTACAGCGACAGCGCATAAAATACGAACTGAGATATGAATACAAACCTTATACCTTAACCTTACCTAACCAAAATAATAAGGTATTTTCTATTTTATACTAGATGTATTAAAATAACCAAATTTTGTTTATAGGGTCTCAAATTAAAAAAAAAACTGTTAATTGGTTCCTACAAGCCTACGACATGCCCATGCGCCCATGCCATTTTGAGGGAAGGGCAAAGACAGATTAAATTTAATACCGATAGCGTTTTATCTATGATAATTAGGAAGGATACGTGGGCATAAGAAACAGATTCCCCGGAAACTAATGTGACCATGTACAGGTTACTGACATTTTAAGCGATCCTCTTAGAATGTATATCTGCGGATATGGGCACAAAATCGGCTTAGCAGTATTCATGTATACCTACCGTAGTGTAACGAACCAGCAAATACATATCCGTATGATTCGCGGGTATGCAACGGTGCGATATATTTCTTAGTTACTGCATTGGCACTATAGACCATATCGCGTAACCTTGAAACTATAGTTGCGTTTGAGAAGTAATTAACATATTTCGACATGCACTTCGCGTGTTTATTTATATATTAGTACAGTTTTTACCCCAGGCTCCGCCCGCTTGTATGTCAATTATCTCTCTATGCCAAATTTCAATGAAATCGATTCAGCGATTATTGATTTTCCATACAAATTTCACTGCCATTTCGACCCCCATAAAAGGTGATTTGGTGTAGAGATAGTTTGAGTCCTGGGATAGGGCATAGGATCTATCCCAAGACTCAAACTAAAATTTCATCTAAATCGATTCAGTTGTTAAGCGTGAAGAGGTAAGAGCAAGCGCGTTGCCAGCCCTTGAAGGAAGGAACGAGTACGCTCTTTTCTTGAAGCTTTGAAGGTCGTATTGATCCGGAAATACCGCAGCAAATAACTTGTTTCACCTATTGGTAGTGCGAGGCAAAAAGTGTCTTGAAAAGCGCACAGTGGTGAAGCGCCAATTATTCAAGAGGTGGGGATGAAAATTTTGCCATGTGGAACGATGGCCGAAGGTTGCGGCCGGTATTAGTCCATGTATGTCCATGATATGTACGATAGAGAATGCAGAGCGAAGCTACTTCTCTACGTAACGACAAGGGATCGAGCCGGTCGCAAATCTTTTGGCTATCGATGATTCGATTCGCTCTTCTTTGGATTCGATCCAGAAGGAGAAGCTGGTACTGTGGTGCATAGAGATGAGAGCAGTATTCCATATGCGGTCGGACTTGCGCCTTATAGAGTTGCATTTATAATATTATTATGGATATGGATATTTATATACTTTATTAAAGCAAGACAATTTTAGAAATGCAAAACTATCATCAAATGTAATAATGCAAATAAAATAAAAAAACCGGTCAGGTACGAGTCGAACTCATGCGCCGAGGGTTCCATACCCTCCCAGATTTTACGTAGATTTTCGCGAAAATTTGTAAGTACCTAAATTTTTCTTACTTTTTAAACTTTTTTAGAATTATTCTTTTATTTGTGCTGTAAGACGTTTCTTTTTGCCAAATTTTTGGTCAACGGGAACTGGTAGTTCCCGTTGACCAAAAATTTGGCAAAAAGAAACGTCTTACGTCTTTTCGACCCAAAACCTATAGGGTACTTCCGGTTGACCTAGAATTGACAATTTTGATTAAAAGCAAGATCTTACAGAACAAGTAAAGAGAAAATTCTGAAAAATAAAAAAAGTTGAAATTTAAGGTAAATTTTGGTACTTACTTATAAGTTTTAGCGAAAATCGAAATTTGATCATATCTTTTTATCGTGTTGACTCAAGACCTTGATTTTTATACACCTAATAGAGACCATAGACCTCAGTATCTGGTATAAATTTCAACTTGCTAGGTCTACCCATTCCTGAGAAAATCGGTGGTGACACACAGACAGACAGACAAGAAAGTGATCTTATAAGGGTTCCTTTTTTATCTTTTGAGGTACAGAACCCTAAAATATAGGCAGATATGTATACAAGTTTAGCACATCAGTGGTATATTTGTAAATACTGTGAATAACATAAGCAATGCCCAGATTACTGTTTTTATTATAAATTATTTTTGATGTATCTTAATTGTCAAGACTTCTTTCTCTACTATTTGGTGATTTGGAGGATGAAAACGAGCCATCAAGAAATGTGTTTAAAAACTCATTCAATAAGGGAATTCCACTATGAATTTAAATTTTATTTTATTTAATGACTAAAGATGTAATAAACACAGGCAGAATGAAATGTTAACCTTAACCTCGAAGAGAAAAAACCATTGAAGTATTGATGCAGATAAAAAAAATCATAAGTGCCCCATTATATTATTTTAACTAACCTACCACATTGTCAGAGACACAGACCTAAAATCCAGAATAAAATGCTCTGCCCAACACCGGAATTAAATGTAGCTCATTTGCACCAAAATTGTTTTTTACTTGCTCTAATTTCATTTAGAAAATTACATATAGGTACTTGTTGCAAATTATGTGTTTTAAAATTAATATTAAGCACTGGAAGTTCAATTCATATTTATATAATCAATCATCATTCATATAGTCATATTTTCTTTTTTCATTTCTACAGACAGAATTTACTAGCTGTATTTAGGAATTTTTTATATTTCTGTTGTAAGGGTTACTCTAAATAAACAAGAAGTTGATTATTAAAACTTCGCCATAAGTTTTAATAATAAATCCTTACTTCCATTCTTATAATATAAATGAGAAAGTGAGTTTGTTTGTTTGTTATGATTTACGCCTAAACCGATAAACCAATTTTAATAATTTTTTCACAACTAGAAAGCTACATTATCAGCAAGTAACATAGGGTACTTTATACTGCGATAACTGACATACACGGGAGCAGAGCAGAGCCACAGCCAGCTAATGCATAATAAATTACAGAGCGCCTGGCAGATTTTTAGCTTTTTATACCTGTTGTTACATAATTTTGAATTTTATAACACATATTGTTCATACACATAAGGATTATTTGTTTCTGGACTTTTTCTACATATAAACATGAAGTATACCAAATATAATATGGTTCCAAGCGGTACATGCTACATTTGTTTAAAAGGGGTAACAAAGAATTTTCTTAAGACTTAATCATAATTATAAATCCTTTAATTCAAAAAATGTAATTATATAATTTTGTTATTATTAAATACATAGATGTGAAAATAAGTATTTCTATGAAAATATTTAGATTACTTTTTGATAGCTTTATCAAAAGAGAAGAAAAAAGAGTTATAAAATTTATAATAAGGGGTTTTTATTCCAATATATAGATAATAAATGAGCAAATTTGTGTAAATGAACAAGTTTGCATTTATGTGGATGGTGAGAAAGTTGAAATTTATTTATATCCTATTTATTTTTTAACATATAACAACTTCTGTCTTCTTAACTATTTTACTCTTAACTGTTTGGACTTCATTCAATAAATTAATTCAGGTTTTAACTATAAAAATTTATAAACCTAAAAAGATAATTTTGTTTCTAATTATGAATACTTAATAAGAAAGTTCAAAATCTGTTAATTGAACAAATAATTTAATGACTGAAATAATTACATACTTATTTAGATTCTTTAGCAGACTATCTATAGATGACTTAAAAGTGTCATCTATTTAAAAAAATCTTCGTGTTCAACGCACAGAATTTATAAAAGTAATGATGAAAAAAATCTTTAATTCTATACTAAATTCATTTATTAAAAAAAAACAATTTACTTCCACTTCTTTTAGTAATTAAAATAAAACAAAACTAAGTAATTTATGCATGTGTAATAAGCACCTAAATAAAAAGCTAAACAAGTACGTGTTAAACTAAACAAATGTAATGTAATGAGAATTTCACACGATTTTTTACAATTTATTTATTAAGTTTATTACTTACCAATTCATTCTGGGTTTTTGACGTTTATTGATCAAGGTTATCCATATAATTATGTGTAAACAATTACAACCAAACCATAAACGTAATCACATACTAATTTTTTTAAAGTAGGTAACTAATCGAATAAATACGATATAATGAAACAACCACACGAAGAGTATAAATTCACAAAAAGTCACAATTTACACACATACATATCACTAATAGTTGTAGGGGTGCCCTTGCTTTTACGTAAGTCGATTTAACAGAGAATACAATGTAAAAGAATTAGGGATTAGTTTGATATACGATGACATAAACTACTGAAAAAAATTGAATTTTAAATAAAAAAAAAAAAATTAAACAAAGCACCTACTTTTCGAATTCATTTTATTACAATTTTGCATACAATCAA